CCCTCCGTGATCGTATCCCAAACATCGCCTTGATCTCGCCTGATCCACTTCGATCCGGTGCTTCCACATCTTTACCCTCATCTTTCAAACTTCTAGAGCCTTCATCATGCCACATAAGCTTTAGGTCGACTGAGCTGGTGTTCCTCAACCATGGATTGCGGATCGCCAATACGTGATCTGAGATCGAGATGACCCAGGCACTCGCCGAGGTGATCTCAGCCTGGGAGTCTTCGATCTTACACTGTTTCACCCTAACGTTGCATGATCCATCGTGGTCGTCGGGGATCCAACCATTCTTTGCGATCCCGACTTGCTCGATCCCCGATCTTTGATCTTGATCTCCACTTTTGAATCACCCCGATCCGCGGTATTCGCGTGCGGATCCCGTGTCCCATATAGTCAAATACGCTTATCACAGCCGACACTCTCTAGACCACCCTTCCTATGGTTTGGGTCGCGACTTGTTCGATCATCGATCGTGACCCACCCAATCTGGTCGTTCCCGATCTCAATCTTGCGATCGAGTTCGCGATCTGCTTCATCTCGATGCCGCTATTCGTGGTCTAGCTTTCCACGAGCTCTTCTCCATGACGCTAGATTGTCCGATGAAATCCGTCGCGATCGAGAACTTCTGATCTCAGTGCTACCAGGATCCGGGCGATCCCGATCGGCACGGTCACTAATCTAAAACAGTGTCAGTTTGCTCTTTTTATTTTTGAAACAGCACTTCACCACAGTAGTATTCCGCCGGCACGTTTCAGGAACCGGGTTCTTGCAAGGCTTTTTATTTGTGCTTCTCGATGGGAAGTTATTGCTGTCAGGATGTGATTAAGGTGAATGCTAAATGTGAACTCCTCCTCACCTTCTCAAATATATATATATATATATATATAGAGAGAGAGAGAGAGAGACTGCTAAGGCGCACGAGACTGGCGGGGTTAAGAAATGTTAGAAGGCTAATTAACATTGCGAAATTCAAAGTGGTAAAAACATTTACGTCAACTAGCGAGAGATGACCTAGACAAGCATGAGTTCACCGAGGACCTATTCCATCGCGTATCTGACATATATTCCCACGTTACATCGCACACGTAGCCACCTCTTCAACTGGCCCACTAGCGGTCACACAGCAACAGATGTAGCAGCACGCGTAGACATGCTTAGCCCATCCGCAGAAGGCAGCTAAAGCCTTAGCCCCGAGTCCCCGGAGCCGTTATGGCTCTAGCCCCGACTGCTCCGTGAGCATGTATGTCGTACCGGATTGGGAGTGCGCCGACAGGTCAGGACCGTCAGCCACTGTCGCCGGGCGACTTAATGAGTGTAGCAGCACGCGTAGACATGCTAGGGTTTAGGGTTTGTCTGAGATCCTCCTTGAACACTGCATACGTGCTAAAGCTTATATGATCCGTGAGCCGGCAACCGTATGCCCAGCTCCTCGCTCGTCCGTCAAGACAGGACATGGCGAACGCGACCTTCGGCGGTTCGTCGGCAATGCGACGAGCCCAGATGGCGGTGTCAACTTCGACAAGCCATCGAAGAAGAGGCTCCCCCTCTTTTCCCACATAACTGCTCACGAGCAGTTTCAACGACTGC